AAGGACGTAGGAATACCTAGCGTATCCCTGGATAAAATTACTATAGTAGCTGGTGAGGCCTAGAAAGTTGCAAAGCTGCTTGGCAGATGTGGGGACGGGCCACTCTGCAATAGCAGTGATCTTCGCGTCGTCCATGTGGAGACCCTGGTCAGACACATGGTGTCCTAGGAAGTCCACTTTGCACTGGGCAAAGAGGCACTTACTGAGCTTGGCATAGAAGCCATGCTTGCGTAAGCGCTGTAGGACATCGCGGAGGTGTCTGATATGGTCTTCTAAGGTACGACTGTAGACCAGGATGTCGTCTAGGTATACGAGAACGTATTATTCAAGGATGTCCCTGAAGATGTCGTTCATCGCCGTCTGGAAGGTGGAAGGTGCATTAGTGAGGCCGAATGACATCACCGTGAACTCGTAGTGGCCGAAGCGCGACCGAAAGGCGGTCTTCAGCTGGTCCTCTGCGGCAACGCGGATCTGGTGGTAACCGCTACGAAGATCGATCTTCGTGAAGAAGCGGTTGCCTGCCAGACGGTCAAACAGCTCATCCGCGCGGGGCATGGGATAACTGTTCTTAACCGTGTGACGGTTAAAACCGCGATAATCGATGCAGAGGCGGAGAGTTCCATCCGCTTTGCGAGCAAAGAGGATAGGTGCACCCCAAGGGGAGTTACTAGGTTTAATGAAACCAAGTCGAAGGAGCTCCTCAAGCTGACGCTTGAGTTCCGTCGCCTCTGGAATTGAGAGTCGGTATAGTGCCTGATGGTGAACACGATAGTCAGGCACGAGCTGGATGGAATGCTCGACACCGCGCATCGGGGGAATCCCGCTGTATGAGAAATACGGGGGGAAGACATCGCRGTACTCCCGAATCWGGTCGCGAATGACGGGCTCTAAGTCAGCCGTGAACCGCATGAGTTCCTCAAYWTCTSCGTCGGCACGAGACGTATGGGTGGACTCGGCAGTGGACGGCGTAGGAACCTGGGATGTCGAGGGGGTATCCGCAGGCTGCGGGGTGGATGTAGAGATGGGAGCCGCGAAGATGGAGGAAGGGTCAGGGGGATCGGGCTCCAGTGAGATGAGCTCAACCTCGGGACAGAGTGGATCGTAGCGAAGAAGATCCATGGCGTTCACTGAGTAGAGCGTGACGTCCTCCTGTCGGATGAAGTGAGCAAACTGACAGGGAGAAGTGAAGGAGATGTCTGGGTGGGACCCAGAAGGACGAGGGTCCTGGGGAGGTAGGTTTGGAGGGGT